TTAAAATTATGACGCAGACAAGCAGGAAAATCACAAAGGATTAAGAAACAATCACGAAGTAGGTAAATCATAAGGGTCAATCAGGATAACTAGGCCGTGACCTAGTGACTTGTTTGACCCTTGTGTACCTACTTGCTTTTTTTGTTTAAACTTCATGACCGTTGGAGCCTTGTAATTGTACCGCCTGGCGTCCCCCGTTGACCCTCTTATTAGTTTCACCCTCCAGATTGAAGGATTGCTTCCGTTGTTTGACCCTTGCGACGTTTGACCCTAAGAAGGCATTACCCTTGCGATGTTTAACCTTCGCGAGGATAACCCTCGTGATCGTTTGATTTTAACGATTTCCGGCCGATATGCCTCTCACTTTTGACCTTTGTGACTTTTTAGCTTAGCTTCCTTGTAAAGAGTTTTCTGACACTTTTTGACATTTTTGACGCCCCAGAGGTAAATTACCGGTATTTGACAATGTCACGTCATAAACTTCCATCTGCGAGATATGCCCAACCCTGATTCTCGGTGCATTGAGACTATCCCACCAATGGAAACGTAAACAATGAGCATGATACATCTGATGTCGGAGAGTGCACACTGAGAGGCTTCGAATGATCATCGTGAAAATTCCAAAGACTCTATGTGCCGTTGTCTCAAACCGATTTTAAATTCGTCGTGACTCCCTGATTTTCATTCTTTTCGATTGTCGTGAGAGTAATTTTCAAAGTGAGAAGTTGATGTTATCAGGGAATGCCAAAACGCAGATACAACCCGAGTTGGGAGAGCGAAGAGTGGGCTAAAGGTTGTAAAGCCACTTTGTCTGGAATAACTTCTTCGATCATAAAAAAGCTCACGTTACTAATCAATGTATATCATTTTCTAACAGGGTGGCTGGAGAAAAATGAAGATAAGAGTGATACTGACGATTCACATCAGGATGCACGCTGTAAAGTCTGTCGAGTCAATTTACGTAGTCATTCATCGGACTTACAGAGACATGGAAAAGCCAAGAGTCCCACTGACAAAATGTCATCCATACGTCTACCAACAAAAAGCAAAATGTTGAACTATGGTACAGATGAATTTTTTTCTTTCTGTGGTATTTTTTAACAGGTCAATAGACAAAAATCACTGGGATTGGAATTTAAACAATGTTATGATTTTTTTTTCTTCCGCAGTAAAAAAACCAGTCAGCGAGAAATTGAAAATTGCTGCCATCAATATCTCTACACACGTTGCTGTTCATTCAGCAATCAGAACAGTAGATCATCTTGTTGATGTGGTGAAGCCTCTAGCCAAGGGGAGTCCTCTTGAGGATCTCAAATTGAAACGTACTAAATGTACTAGTACCATCAAGAACGTGATAGCTCCTGTGATGCTGACAGAATTGGTTGAAGCTATTGGGAAAAATGGATATTCATTGATTGTTGATGAGTCCACCGATGTATCAGTCACCAAATACATGTGCCTCTGTGTCAAATATTTCAATACAACAGAAGGGAAATTGGTAACAGATTTCTTGGGGATGTTTCTTGTGGAAAAAGCTACAGCTAAATGCCTATACGAGAGTGTTTGTGAATACTTGGAGACGATCAAGCTCCCGAAGGAGAATATGACAGCACTTGGAACAGATGGAGCAAGCAATCTCTGTTGGCGTAAAGAATCTCTCTACGCCCTACTGAAGAAAGACATCCCCAATCTGCAGCTATTGAAATGTTCCTGCCATTCGATTCACTTATGTTCCTGTAAAGCGTCAGAGGAGTTACCGAGTTCATTGGAATATTTAGTCAAGGAAGTTTACAATTGGTTTAAGCAGAGTACACTTCGTCGTGTTAAGTACAAGAGATTATTTGATACTATTAATGCAGGTGTCGAGAGCAATCGCTTCTATCAACTAATTCAACTATCTCAAACACGTTGACTAGCGTTCCATGATGCTTGTAAGAGGATTTTGGAACAGTGGTTGGAACTGAAGACTCATTTTGGTATAGTCAGCCAAACTGGAAGATGTTATGGTGCTCGAATGATTCACAGCATGCTTCAGGATGAATCCAACAGACTCTATTTGGTATTTTTGAGAAACATCCTTGCCCAAATGCAAAGTTTGAACTTGACCTTCCAAAGTGACAAGGTCGATGCTGGGAGTGCTTATGATGAAATGTACACAACATTTTTATCATTCACCACTAAGATACTCAAACCAGCTTTTCTAGTCGTGCATCGAGATGGAGTGAATCTGCTGGACCAGGTTTGTGGTGCTCTGGATAATGAGTTAGCTTTTTTGCCATTAGAATCGGTGAATTTCGGTTTTGATCTGATGGCAGAACTCATCTCAGCGAATCTCAGCTCTGACAAGGTGCTGGAAATGCAACAGCGGTGTTTCAATTTCTTGAAACGATTACTCATAGAGATGGCCAAACGATTGCCAGTTAACATGGAAATTTTCAAGAAGTATAAACTACTTAGTCCACTGAAATGCCTTGGCCCTGAGCAAGCAAAATTCTGTGCAATCATTGAGGTTCTAAGACTTTTCCTTGATCCAGAGGTGGAAATAGCTGTCTACGAGTCACAGTGGCAGAAGTTACTTTTCGTCGATTGGAAGATTCATTGTTCAAACGTTCTCCCAGTTAGCATAATTGATTTCTGGCCAATTGTGTATGCTTTTGCAGATGGTGCTGGGAAATTCTCATTCAGAGAATTAGCTGAGGCTGTTTTACGTACGTTATGTGCATGCGTAGAACGAGTCTTTTCTGTTATGAATCTCACGAAAACTAAACCACGCAACAAAATGGGAATGAGCTTGTTGGAGGCTCTTCTGAGGATTTAATTTTATTTCAATGTTACCGGTCTATGTTGCAACACATTCGTAGCCAGTGAGCAGATGTTGAGGCTCTTCACAGCCAGTAATATGTACGGGAGTAAAGATGATGGTAACGAGACAGAGGAAAAAGAGAAGGAGGAAATGTTCGAAATTGCGGACAATTTCCTATGAAGTTGATGGAGACTATATATTCTCTAGACTGTTTTTGATGATTCCTGATATTTTATGATATTGTATTTTATATTCTATTCTATTCTATTCTATTATTTTCATTGAGAATGCGAAATTATCCAATATTGTTTCGTAAACTGAATAAAGCAACGGAATTTTCTATTAAATTTGGAATGATTAGTTGATGCTGCGACTCTGGCGCTTTTTGAAAATCATTTGGCGCTTTCTGGCGCCCCCACCTCATCCACTTGGCGACTTCCCCTCCTCGGCATCTGGCAACCCTGGTCACAGGGACAGGTTCGGAGGGGTAATTTTGTCCTCCTTGTACTCAATGTTTACGTCATGTTTTTCAGTTCATTTATTCGCCGACTAATTAATATTAAGGTATGAAACCAATGCTGTTCGATGGAGAATTAAATTCCCCATCCATCAACCCCCGTTTCATACCTTAATCTCTACAATAAAAAAATTAATATTGCGACGAATGTCACGGCGCTATGAAAAACTCAATGGTTTCTCAGCGCAGAGTGCTTCCCCATTAATTCGCCCGCTAATAAAAAAATCGTCTCTCCCCTCCTAATTAACATTAAGGAATGAAAGTAATGCTGTTCGATGGAGAGTTAAATTCCCCATCCTTCAATCCCCGTTTCATTCCTTAATCTCTGTAATAAGAAAATTAATATTGCGACGAAACTCGCGGCGCTATGAAAAATTCAATGGTTTCTCGGCGCAGTAACTCCCGACAACTCGCCCGCTAATTCAAAAATTGTATCTCTGCTCCTAATTAACATTGAGGAATGAAACTAATGCTGTTCGATAGAGAATTAAATTTCCCATCCTTCAATCCCCGTTTCATTCCTTAATCTCTGTAATAAAAAAATAAAAACTGCGACGAAAGTCGCGGCGCTATTAAAAGTCTAATGGTTTCTCGGCGCAGTGACTCCCGACAACTCGCCCGGTAATTCAAAAATCGTATCTTTTCTCCTAATTAATATTAAGGAATGAAACCAATGCTGTTCGATGGAGAATTAAATTCCTCACCCAACAACCCCCGTTTCATCCCTTAATCTCTGCAACAAAAAAAATTAATATTGCGACGAAAGTCACGGCGCTATAAAAAACCCAATGTTTTCTCGGCGCAGAGTGACTCCCCATTAATTCGCCCGCTAATTAAAAAATCGTCTCTTTTCTCCTAATTAATATTAAGGAATGAAACCAATGCTGTTCGATGGAGAATTAAATTCCTCACCCAACAACCCCCGTTTCATCCCTTAATCTCTGCAACAAAAAAAATTAATATTGCGACGAAAGTCACGGCGCTATAAAAAACCCAATGTTTTCTCGGCGCAGAGTGACTCCCCATTAATTCGCCCGCTAATTAAAAAATCGTCTCTTTTCTCCTAATTAATATTAAGGAATGAAACGGGGGTTGAAGGATGGGGAATTTAATTCGCCACCGAACAGCATTGGTTTCATTTCTTAATATTAATTGGGAGAAAAGATACGATTTTTGACTTAGCGGGCGAGTTGTCGGGAGTCACTGCGCCGAGAAACCATTAGGTTTTTCATAGCGCCGCGACTTTCGTCGCAGTTTTTATTTTTTTATTACAGAGATTAAGGAATGAAACGGGGGTTGAAGGATGGGGAATTTAATTCGCCACCGAACAGCATTGGTTTCATTTCTTAATATTAATTGGGAGAAAAGATACGATTTTTGACTTAGCGGGCGAGTTGTCGGGAGTCACTGCGCCGAGAAACCATTAGGTTTTTCATAGCGCCGCGACTTTCGTCGCAGTTTTTATTTTTTTATTACAGAGACTAAGGAATGAAACGAAAGTTGTTGGGTGGGGAATTTAATTCTCCATCGAACAGCATTGGTTTCATTCCTTAATGTTAATTAGGAGCAGAGGCGATTGTTAATTAGCGGGCGAATTAATGGGGAAGCGCTCTGCGCCGAGAAACCATTGAGTTTTTCATAGCGCCGCGACTTTCGTCGCAGTTTTTATTTTTTTATTACAGAGATTAAGGAATGAAACGGGGGTTGAAGGATGGGGAATTTAATTCTCCATCGAACAGCATTGGTTTCATTCCTTAATATTAATTAGGAGAAAAGAGACGATTTTTTAATTAGCGGGCGAATTATTGGGGAGTCACTCTGCGCCGAGAAAACATTGGGTTTCTTATAGCGCCGTGACTTTCGTCGCAATATTAATTTTTTTATTGCAGAGATTAAGGGATGAAACGGGGGTTGATGGATGGCGAATTTAATTCTCCATTGAACAGTCTTTGTTTCATCCCTTAATATTAATTAGTCGGCGAATATATCAACTGAAAAACATAAAGTAAACATTGAGTACAACGAGGACAAAAATCCCCCTCCAAACCTATCCCTGTCACAGCGGGACTGCTACTGCCGAGTTACTCACGCACCCGACTCACATTTACCGACAATTCGACCGGGACGCCGCCTTTCCCGTGGGGTACCAACTAACTTTTTTGGAGTCAGTCAAACCCCCCGATCCGGGCCTCTACTCAGGTCTATCCTCTTTGCTTCAATCAATCAGAGCCATGCTTCCCAATCGGTAACGCAGGGTTCTCAATGCTAGCCAAATCTCAGCCCTGCGTTTAGTAAAACTTGGGAGAAGTTTCGGCGAGCCAGCTCATTGTTACCGACAATCAACCGTTCCGCCATCTCTCCCATGGGGTAATACTAATTCTGCTTGGGGTCACTCAAAACCTCCGGATGCAGGCCTCTACTCAGGTTTATCCTCTTTGAGCTTTATCATAAAAAAACGTTCGTGATTTATCTACTCGCAAAAATACAACAGAAAAAATTAATAATTACAAGAAATTTTAGGGCTGGTAAGCTCATATAATACTTTTTCTCTCAATTGTCATCACAATTAAATTTTATTGAAAAAAAAATGAATATGTATTGATATTTTGTGCGATAATTGTAATAATGCGCCCGGTCAATGGTGCCGGTGCGTACTTTCGTGTTTTTTTTCACATTTTTTTTTCTGTGTGTTCCATTGTGCGCAATATTGTGGTAATTTTTTCTCCCTCTATCTTCCGTGCGTTAATTTGAAGAGGAGAAAATAAAAGGAAAAGAAAAACATGTTAATTTTATGACGGAAGTTTTTTCATAGTATTTATGTTTAGATCGCGGACGATGTCAATCCCAATAAACAAAGAGCAGCTCGCTCCCCTAAAGTTTTTTGTCGAGCTCTGTAAGAAGAATCCTCAGCTTCTTCATGCCCCTGATTTTGCCTTTGTCAGAGAATTTATCGAGTTTTTTGGTGGGAAAATTCCTAATGAGAAGAAGAATGGACCAGAGGAGAATGATGACGAGCCCAGTAAATTCCGTGAGGAGCCAGAAGAGGAAATGGAGGACGAGAGTGGTGATAGTGATGTCGAGTTTGATATGACTGGGGTCATTGGTAAGAGGAGAAATATGACAAATTTCATGTTATTCTTGAATAAAAAAACGACCAACTCCATTATGTATTAAGCTCATAAGATGTTTTAAGTCGATTTGTCTTATTTGGGCTCAATTTAGTTATGAAGATTATTTCAAGAGAGTGATTTTGAAAAAAAAATGATGTGATTTCTCATCTCTGTGTAATATTTGCACGCGAAATCACTCGTTTTTGAGATAATTAGATAATAAAACATTTTTATGCAAGATTTATGATGTTTAATTATGTTATTGCAGAATTCACTAAGAAATTCCATATTTGAAAGAAATTTCATATTTGGGAAATTCAACACAATTTTTCGCCTTTAGGATGAGGAAATCCTTTTGATACAAGTGTAAACATTACTGCCATTTTCTTCCAAATATTTTTAGGGCTTAAAGAAAGGGCTGTTCACCTAAACAGAAAGACAATTGTTTCAAATGTTTTCTTCCCAATAAAGAACAATTCCATCTTCCAGAACCCGACAAGGATTCTCCTCAAAAGATGGGTAACCTTTCTCTTCAACCAACAGAAGAAGAAATAGCAGAAGCCCAATTAAAACGTTCAGAGGCAGTGTCAGCCTTTTCAGAGAAGGACTACGAAAAAGCACTGGCTCTCTATACAGAAGCAATAATCCTCAACCCCCATGCAGCTCTGCTCTACGCGAAACGTGGCCAAGTCTTTCTTCAATTGAATAAACCAAACGCTTGCATTCGTGATTGCAACAGAGCTATCGAGCTGAACCCAGATAGTGCAGCAGCCCACAAATTTCGAGGTCGTGCCCATCAGCTTTTGGGTGATTGGGAAGAAGCCGCAACTGATCTTCGACTGGCTTGTCAATTCGATTTTGATGAACAAGCAGATGAGTGGCTTCGTGAGGTTGCACCCAACGTGAGTACATTTATTTTTACGCCTAAATCTCTATTTATCATTTTTTTAAAATATACACATGTTCATTATATTAAACACAAGGAGAAAACTTTTAGGAACAAAATCTGCCGCACACCATTCTTATTTAAAAACGGAGGTACATACAACAGTATTTCTACTTAAACCTAGAGATTAAATTAACGTTTTAAATTAATTAAAGGTGAAATTAATTCTGTAGTGAAGTGGTGAAATGTAATTCGTCTAGTATGAGATTTTTGTTGATTATATAATCAGTTTTGAGAATGGAAAAATTCTCTTTAAGTGGGCACTGCACTGAAACTTGAAAGTTTTGGGTGAACGACCGAGGCTCATCAAATGATTTTTGATGGAACATGATGGAACGTCCAAAAAAGTGACAAACATGTAGAATTCAATCCATTTTGCCCCGTATTTCAGGGTGAAATTTAACTTTTATATTTTTTTATTGTACAAATGATTTATAATTGCCCAACTTTAAAGTATAAAATTGACTTTTTAAAAAATACTGTTCAATAGAACATGGGGTAAATTGATTCTTTCAGCTTTCTCTTGTTGCTCGTTTTTTCATAATATCGGAAAAAAAAGAAATTGAAATTCTCAATCAACCCCCCATTTGCCTATTGAACACTCTCTGTAGAACATTTTTTAGATGTGACGAAAAAACGACCAAAAATTGTAATTACGGGAAAATTAATTATCTCATGATTTATTCAGTATTGAAAAAAATTATATTTAATTTTAATCTTTGGTATTTCACGGACGTAAACAGTGTCTCCAAAAAATAAAGTTTTACGCTGAAGTACGTGGTAAAACTGATTGAATTCTACATGTTTCCTATTTTCTTGGATGTTCCAACATGCATCAAAAGTCGTTTAATAGGTAGGAACTTTCAGCCGTCGACGACCTTCAATTTTTAGCCCCCCCCCCCCCAAGAGATCCCTCAATGTATTGTTTTTCTCAAAATTACTGATTATATTCTTTCTGGCATTGGATTTTTGTGTTCTACCATTCCACCAGTGAATTAAACAGATTTTAAAGAACTCGAATGTGTATTGATTAATTTTCTCTTTGTAAATTGATCATTCAACACTGATTACGAAATTCTGTTACTTCTGATTTACTTCAGATTGCTGTTGCTAAATAAATAGGGCAACGGGACAACCGTACCCATAAAACTCTACCAGCATGAACCACCACCGAAATCATCCCTACCAACGTACAACTCTAATCCACCAATCTGGTTTTCCGATAAGCATATCGCGTTGGAACACTATCAATGGTGCAACGGTACCGCGGGACAACCGTACCCACCGACAAGCCTACCGAATTATACTCCTACCAATAGTGTTCGGAACGTTGAATCCGTGTAACTCTATCGCGGGACAACCGTACCAAGCGACTAGCCTACCGCAGAATAACCCTACCGAACTAATAAGTCTACCGCGGTACAACCCTACCGACTATATTAAAATCATTCTCTAATAAATTTTCATTCGTAATTTTGTCCTCTCATGTTATAATTATTCAAATGATTAATAATTAATAGATTTCGTGAATTCAACGTTTTAGAATTCCTTCGGCTGGAATTTTCTAATTGTAAGTTTTTTTGTTTGATTTTCTTCATGAGAAGAAAATCAAAATAGGATGAAAAAAATTTAGAAAATCTGAGCCGAGCAAATTGTATAGAAAATATCTGAAGAGAAAATCTTACATAGGAAAATCGAATTCTATTGATTTTTTCTAATGAATATTTCGGCCAAAAATCGGTCGAAAAAAAATTCGGCAAGAAATTAATAGGGAGTTCAATCCAATAGAATTTTGTAACAAATTCGCTACATTTTTCAATCAAATTTTTTCATCCCTGGTGAGTTAAATAGAAAACATTTTATACAACTTTTTCTATTGAGATTTCTTTGCAGGAATTCCTCGTCTAATTTTTTTACTTTTTTTGTGTTCCTTTTTATGATAAGGACAAAAATGAAGTGAAAAAAACTTGAGAGATTTAAATCAAGGAATAAAAAATGAAAAAAATGCACAATCAAGCTGCGAAATTTTGGAATAAGATGGGCGAAAAACTATTGGAATCTTCAATAGAATTCCAATATATTTTTCTAGCCAATTTGTTTGGTTTTTCCGTTAGAACGATTCTTCCATTCAGCAGAATGGAAAATTATTGAGAAGTTTTGACGGGAGATTTTTTTCAATGGATTAATAGAAAAGAATATGAAACCGCAATGTCCAAACTCCAAATCAAGGCCCAGGGGGAGACCTAGAGGGGAAAAAAGGAAAATTTGAGGCTGAATTTCAATCGAATGAAAAAAGAAAAGTGTAATCGGCCTAATGTAATTAATTGAATTATAAGAACAATAGAAAATTATGATTCTCTTCAATACTCCCAGTAATAAAAAACTAATAAACAAGAGTTGATAAGAACAAATTTTTTTTTTGCTTGAATTGTGTCAAATAGTCCTTTTTCGGCTGTTTCATTTTTCCCCAATCTCTCCTATATTATGACTCATTCTTAAGTATTCCTGCAACAGAATCAGGAATTGAAGAAATTGGGTTTTACTTTTCGAGTTCGCATCAAATTTCTAGAAACTTCTTGAATTAACCCAAAAATTCTTAAAATGCGATGTATTCTCTTCAATTTTCTAGAACTCCCTCAATTATGTCGAATTTTCTGAAAACTTGCATTCCCTCAAAATTTCCAGAAACTCCTTGAATTTCCTCGAAATTTCTAGAAATTACTTGCAGTCTCTGGAATTTTATAGAAACGTCCTGTATTCTCTCGAAATTTCTAGAACGGGCTTGAATTCCCTCGAAAGTTCTAGAAAGCCAGGTGAAAACGGGTTTCTCCTTTATATATAAGATTGAGATTGATGAAACGTTGAAATCACGAAAAGTATTAATTATTAGTCATTTGAATAATTATAACATGAGGGGAAAAAATTACAAATGAAAATTTATTAGAGAATGATTTTAGTATGGCCAGTAGGGTTGTATCGCGGTAGAATTGTTAGTTCCGCGGTAGGCTAGTTACTTGGTACGATTGTCCTATAGTAGAGTTGCGCGAATTCAATATTTTTGCGGCATCGGTGGGGGTATAAGTCGCTAGGCTTATCGCTGGGTGCGGTTGTCCCGCACTGGAGTTGCATGGATTCAATTTTCTAAACAACCGACCGTAATGGTTGGGTGAGTTAGGTGTTGCTCCGGCGGACATCCGAGTACAGCTGCATTTAGCGTGGTTAGTACTTGGATGGGTGACCGCTTAGGAACATCCTCGCCCAAAAATTTCGGAAGGTAGGCACGGTGTGGTGGCCTAATGTGCCCCTCTAGTCAGTGTGACAGAAGTGCACATTAGAGCTTTGCACAATCGGCCGGCTGTACGACTGAGGTTTACCATGGTTTCCCTTGTAGTCTTAGCCTGAATGGGGTACAGTTAAAAGAGTAAGATGGCCCATGGTAACGCAGATATATCTACCCTACCAACAAAATCTAATTCCTAACTCCTGAAACGTCCCGTAGAGGGATAACGGCCGAATAGTCAATGCTAAGGTATGATACAGGGAGATATGGTGAAGCTTTGATGTCGCCGACACCGAAACAGGGGACAAGTTCCAACGGAAGCCGCGCGCGGCGCTGCGGCCTCCCTTCTCCTCACGTGGATTAGATCTCCCACCACACGCCGATTTTACTTGCGTCGCGAGTTCAAATCCCCGTCAAATCAATTTTTTTTTTTTTCATGAGAGAGAAATAGTATATTTCGTAACGAGTGCAAAAAAGTGGTTTTTGGCGAGTGGGAGGTTTATAACACGAGCCGAAGGTGAGTGATATAATTTCACGAGCCAAAAACCACTTTTTTCACGAGTTACGAACAAAATTTTTCATCACAATGTGTCGGAAAGTTACTTCTCCGATACAGCGTGATGAAAATAAAATTTTGTGTTCAATCGAGAGGAACAGGATTAGAAAATGTTGAGATGAAAACTATATGATTCTCAGCAAATAGTTCTATGGGATCGAGCGATAAAGATTGACTGAAAGTCATGTCGACTAGACGATTGAAATACTGATCAGAAGGAAGAATAATTAACATCAGAAGTCCATTTAATTAATTATTCCTCTTCTCTTCAGTGAAGCTTAATAGGGAAGAATTTGGAGGGATGGGATTACGATAATGAGGATCCCAGTTTGAACTATGTTTTTTAATGTTTTCTTCTATGAACAAGTTTTGAAAAAGATACGAGGGTCATAATGGTCACGAGGGGTGAAATAAATGAGGTACAAGGGGTTTCAAGAGCCACAAAAGAAAAAAAAAGTCCCAACTATTCACTTACGCACCTCACACAAATAACAATCGTTCTTTGACACTTGATCACTCGGTAGCAAATCACCGCTTTTTTCCAGCCATTGTCGTCGCTTCTCAATTTTTTTCACACTGGGAAGGGAGAAAAAACGATAATTATCCCTAGAAGATGCTTTGCAATTTATAATTGCACACGATTTAATCATTTTACATGAATCAACTCGCACAGACTGTTCAGATCTATTGGAGTACTTTTTGGAGCAGACATAAACAAACAACATTCGCGAGATATTTTCGCGCGAAAAATAAATATTGTTCAACATTGGACAAAAATGCATTTTCATTTTATTTTTAATGCTATTATATTGAGCAGTGATTTCACTCTCAATCTTGATAATTATTTTCAGTAAAAAAAGAAAGAATTCACCTATTATAAGATAAAAATCACCCCATTAATGAAAGAGTGAGCGGGCCATTGACTATTAAAGAAATAGTACATGAAAAACGAAGAATATATTGGCATTTTTTTATTTTTCTTCGCATTGTACATGTAATTTCATACGGGGCTAATTATTTTGACTTAAAATATCAATTTCATAACGTTCCCTCCAGCAAAAAAAGTGCCAGTGGTGGGAGACTAAAGGAGATGAGGGGAAGCGTAAGTCGACCGGAACGACCGGTTCGCCGCTTCTGGCGCTCCGGCGAACTTGTCCCCTGTTTTCTGGCTTCATCATACCTGCTTGTATCATACCTTAGCCAATGCAGCTGGAGCCATAAGAAAGAAGAAGAATTTTCTAGACGGCATCGGTAGTGGTCTAATCCGGTGGCCTTGTCGCTTGGTACGGTTATCCCGCGATAGAGTTGCACGGATTCAATGTTCCGAATGCTATTGGTAGGAGTATAATTCGGTGGGTACGTTTGTCCCGTGGTACTGTTGCAACATTGATAGTGTTCTAACGCGGGAGGCTTGTCGGAAAACCAAATTGGTGGGTTAGAGTTGTGTACGGTGGTAGGGATGATTTCGATGGTGTTTCATGTCAATGGAATTTTCGTGGGTACGATTGTCGCGTTGCCGTTGTTGCTAAACGAATAGTTTTACATATATGCTAGAAAAAAATGCATATAAATAATGATGATTCATTTTTTCGACAAGTAAATAATAGCCGAAATTAAATTGCTTATATTAATATTTTCACTGTTTCTTATTTTTTCATCATACCAACACATTAATTACGTTTTTTCGTTACATAAATGTCCCATTCATGAATGGCGATGGATCCGGATCAAACAGAGGATTAAAAATTGGATATAGGTGATTAAAAAAATCTTCGTTTATCTCAGATGATTATCCTTCGTCTTGCGCTGCCCGCAGCCAAGACATAGAGTAACGGATGATGGCATGGTATCGATGGAATTTAAGAGGTGTAGACGTACGTGGATGTGCGCACTTTTTAAATTAATGAAAATTAGAAAAAAAACTTTTTTTTTCAAATGTTTTTCCGTACTTGTTTTGTTACTCTTTTCTTCGTTGTTTTTTCTAATTTTATTCTCAACTTATTGGGGGTTGATTGGATGTATCTTCCGAGTTAACTGTTGCCTCAATGAGTTTCTTGTACTTGCCAACGAGTTCTGGTAGATCGTATGCAATAGCTACATCCAACCTGTTGATTGGACAGCCACGGAAGTACGTGCAGGTGGAACTGAGAGATGGAAAATCGTAGAGTGGATTCAAACGGAAGAAATCCCTGTATACGTCCGGATCAGGCAGATCGTAACGTGAGATATTTGTTAATGTACTGAGGCCCTCGTAGATATGATAATCCTGAGGGTTTTCGATTATTCGGTCGCTTATTTCTTTCTTGTTACCGAAGAAAGTCTTATGGTTGTAGTAAGTGGTTAAGTAGCAATCTACCATTTTTGCATGGTTCCGAACACGTACCTAGAAATTTTTGTGAATATTATTGACAAAAAGTAGAAAGTTGAAAAGAACAATTGCAATTTATGGAAGTTGGTTTCATTCTGTAATGGGGAAATAATTGAAAGATAAATTCCAATTCATATAATTGGGTAGTAAAGCGCCAAAAAAATTGAAATGAACGAAATTGCTTTGGAGACTTTGAATTGTTGAGTGATAAAAAGGCAAAGGTGACATTGAAGGTGTGAAAAAGGAGGGATATAATTTGAAGGAAGAAAGATTGTTCATATTGAACTTACGGCGAATCTTCTTGCACTAGCAATTTTATGTTCAACTCTTTTGTCAATAGCCGAACGTAAATCTCGCAGGAAAGCTCTCTCCTGTGCATATAAAAGACGCGTAGGTGCGCCAGCTTCATAAGGCAATGACCAGAGAGAAGTAGAATACATGATTGGTGGCTCAGCACTTGACATTAACGGTGATATGTTCCAGATGAGTGCTCCTTGGACTCTCATGAGTTCTTCCGGTTTCACTTGGTCGGCTTTATTCAAAATTATTCTTGTTTGGTACTCCCGTCCCTTGAGCTGATCGAGAATTGCCTCGGTTTCTGGGCCGACGTCCAATTTCGATGGATCGTAAACGAGGAATATTATGTCAGCTCTGTCAATGAACCACTGACAGGCGTCGTTAAAAGGAAATAGGCGTTGAACTTGTTTTCGAATTTCTAGAATTCCTGGAATCTCTACGATATTTACCTAAAATCCATAACCATTCAAATATATTTTTCTTGCACTCACCCAATTTTTCAATATATGTTTCAATGAATATGGTCCAATTTTATTAATAATTGTTTAAAGTCTTGTTATTACGAACCTTCTTGAGGAGTCTATGCGGGAGTTTCAGACCTCGGAGACGATCGAGCATACCCTGTCCAAACTTTTGAAGTCCCGAAAACGTCCAATCGGCAGCCAATTGTGTACCATCTAGCACCTCTTCCTCTTCACCGTGCATTACAATATTGAAATACGCCGGCGATGGTTCCGCTCCTGCATCGATTGCATTTAATTAACAACAAAGTGAAGTATTTGTATTTACTATAACTCTACTCACCAGTTCTGAGTGCGGTTGGCTCATATTCCGTGTCCAGAAGGTAATTTATTATGGACGATTTTCCACCGCTCCATGGCCCCATGAAAAGCACGAGGGGCTTCGAGAAAATTTCCGGATCTGAAGCGAATGAAAGCAAAATCATTATTACAACTTGTAAACGGGATAATTTTGTATAGACCTGAGGAGACGACTTTTGAAGGGACTCCACTGAATTTTTAAGTGAAAGGACACGCATTTTATTTACTAATAATAAAATGAGGAAATGAAAAGAAATAATTTTTATAACAATTTTTTATCGTACAGGTAGTCATTGAGCACATTATATTTTATATAGCCACAAATGTGACTGGAGTTTCGAAAGAATTATCTCTCAACGAACTTTTTTCTATGTTTACCTGAGTGGCTGAATAACCATATTGAAGTGAGTGAAAAGATTCTTCTTACCTCCAAAGTGTCTATTACTGAGATCTCTGTACTTGTACAGGGCCTCCAGAGGCTTGATAGCGGTATCATAGAGCCTTTTTAATTCTTTAAGAATTACATCAGAGGCTTTCTCAATTGCTGCTTCTTTAATTTCATTATCCTGATCCAGCCTAAGAATCTGATTGAGGTGTTCCCTAGGCCTCAGGTTCTCTGGAATTTCAATCTCTTGTGTCAATTCTTCCTCAGGCGTTGATTCGGTAGACTCTTCGTCTTCTCTTCCTTCTGGAAATATTATAAATGTTTCAATGATCAGAGTAGTCTTCACAGTTAATTTTAATGAAGAAAGTATCTTGATGAATTTTCTCGAATCTATTAATTTCTGGAATATTTACATAATAACGGTACCCTACCTTGTTCATCTTCTTCCGGCGACGTTCCCTTCTCTTTCTCTCCACTCTCTGTCTGCTCGTCTTTTTCTTGACCTCTAAATTCTTCTTCAGTATCTCTCTTTTTTCTGCCTTTCTTACCACTTTCAATAGCTTGTGTTTCTTCTGCTTGTACAGTCTCAGCAGTGTCCTCTCCCGAGTTCTTCTGAACATCTTCCTCTTCCTTAGTATCTACCTCCTGTGAATCTACTTCTTTTTCTTCCTCCTTTGTATCCGCAACATCGTCGTCAGACTTCTCCGCGGGTTTCTCACCCTCCTCAGTCGTTTTATTTTTCTCTTCACTCCCCTCCTCCTGCTTTTCCTTCGATTCCCTCTCCTTTTCTTCCTCCTTCGTTTCGTTCGAGTCTCCCTCAATCTCCTCAACTGTCTGTTCCGCCTCTTCTACCTCCTCAGATACAGAATTAGCTTCCTCAGCTTTCTCCTCTGATATTTCGTCATCACCTCAAAAAAAGATAATGAAACATGATGAATCACCTCTTGATATCTTCATTCGAGCCATTAGTATCACGAATATTTTGAATCAATACCCTCTTCTGACTTCACCACTAATTTGAATTTACCTTTTTGCGTTTCGTCTTCACCTTCAACGGAGACTGCCCGCCGAAGTGTGGAACCTTCGTCGTCACCCTTAGAAGTTGCGTCTGTCGCTTCCACAGATTGCTCTCTGTCGGGTACTTCAACAGTTCCCTCGCCAGATTCTTTTTCGTCTTCAACCTCTACAGTTTCCAACGTCTCTTTTCTATCGTTATCCTTTTCTTCGAGTTGGTCGTCAGTCTTGCTATCATCCTCTTTCTGATATGAATTTTTTTTTGTTTTTGAATAAGGAAAATTGATTAATTGGTTGATGATGTTGTGAAGTTGCAAGGAATTACTTACAGACTCGGTTGAGGCTACTGTCGGTGGTTCCTCTCCTCCTTCGCCGCCCTCATCTTCTGGACTTACTTCGTCGACGGGTCCTTCAAATTAAATCATCTGAGATTCTATTGATTTCTACATCAGTAGTGAAGTATCACTTGAAAATTTTGGAAATGAGCAATGAGAAAATTTGCAAGGAAAATGGAGCAAAAGTGCGGTGAAATTCATCGTCTTTCTGGCCTTTTTCTTCATCAAGAGCTTACAAATTTTACTATTCGTTTGCGAAAAACTAAGTTACAAAAGGAAAAATTTATCCTCTGCCTCAGATGTTTCCCTTGATTTGAAATAATAGTTCCTGAAATACAATTTCGATTTACAATTGCCTAGATTTTATTGTAAATAAAAATGGTCTTTAAATGATTCGCCTCAACATCAATTCATACTGAGATAAGTCAATAATCAATAAAATCCTTTTTTGCCACTAGACCCGATAAACTGCGATTTCGGGTCCAATGACGAAAAAAATTGTTCGATGCATGGCCGTGAAGAACTTTTATACCTCAAATGATTACAGAACTCGCCGTCGGCTCGTTCTGCAACCTTATATTCGCCAGAAAAGTTCCTCATGGTCTAGTGTCGAAATACACTATATATGTCTTCTGTACTGAAATATGTGTAAATACCCACCCGTTTGACGATCCTTTAAGGCTTTTTCGATGTATGGTCGACATTGGACTTCAGATGGCACCTGATCCACTTGATCATCACCTTGCACAACTAAATAAATCATTTTTGTTGCATGAGATACATTTATCTCTCAATGAAACAACGAATGAATTAGTAATGAGTGATGAAATCATGACAAAGCTGAAAAAATTTTAAATTCTCCGATTCTCGTGAAGCGATAAGGCGAATTTAGTAAAGAATTTGGTAATTACCATGTGAATAATTAGAGATTTTTCTTATGGGCAATTTTAGGAGGAAATCATTGGAGATACTTTCACCAGGCAATTTCATTGAATTTCAAGGGAAGTCGTTTGGAATTTTAGTCTCAATGTACTCTATTTCGAGATAAAGGCATGATTATAAAAACTTCAAGATAGTTCGCTTCACTACCGAAGTCCATATTTAGAAAACAAATTTTCATCTGCTTTTGGATGATTAATGATGAAAAACAGATTCCTTTACATAATTCTGAGAAGCCAGATGGATTTTCCTACATAGTAATTATCTTCTTATCTCTCTTAAATGAGAAATTAACGAGTGAACAATATAAGGAGCGTAGATAAAGAGACAAGAGCGTTAAAGCCGGGGTTGGATGACGCCCGTGAACGACAAAAATATCTGACCTGCGAGATGACGCAAGTCGGGAACGCAAAGGTAGGTAATTGTAATCGGTAATCGTTACCTTTTCACCTTGCCGTCATTGTTATCTTTGTTATCTGACAATAACAATCCGACCCTGTAGACAGGTGGTACGAAGGTGCTATAGCCTTACTAATTGACCTCGTGATGCTGACCCTGAACATACACCTATTGAACTTGTCAAGTAGGGCCAAGAATTCGATCAACCACGTCAATATCCAACTTGTTGCTTCGAATCTTGTCAAGTGAGCATTGATTATCATAATACTCTAATGCAGATAATTTGGTGATTGGGGTGAAGGTGAAAAATGAAAAAATACATTTGTAAGAAAAGGATCTAGGTCAATATTGATATGTAGTGGCTATTTAAAGCATCACAGGAAAGCATTTCAGCAATTTGAAAATGTTTGAGCAGTCGATGAGTTTGTATTGATGCACACGGTCAACGCGGTGGGGATCGTCTCCCCGAGACATCTAAGTTTAGACAGTCGGGTAGGCGGTTTCACCAGGTTTCACGGCCCACGGGCCGAGTACTTATTTAAATATATTTTGTATGTATGCAATGTATCACTCAGACGTGTCCATCAATTTTTTGACCACTTTGGGACTCTGAATTATCCCAATTGTTTATTCAATTAAATCCCATTGTCTTCAGTCTATTCTACATCCACAAAATGTATGAAAATATTTGACTCATTATATTAATTTACTCCTCATTTTTGCTTTTGTGAATTTGCGTGAGAGTGCGAGACAAAAAAATCTGATGATACATCTTAACAAGGTTTGCACCTCAACAAAAGGAGTTGAATGATGGAGATCGCGTTGAAGAAGAGGGTAACAGTAGATCTTACATAACATTGACCTTCGTCAGTGATTCGTCAGTGTTTACGTCAGTAAACATGAGGATGCCATGATGCTGTAACGCTATGACACGGTGTTGCAGTGACCCAATTATTGAGAATTTTGAATCTAAAAAACTCGAAAAAGAAAAGCCTCTCAAACCCTAGATCGATATTCCCTAATTTTCAATAGAATTGTAAGAGAGTAAAGTGACCATGAGTTTTACATAATAGATGCTAGAACTATAAATAATTTTATAAAAAGATGAAATGTTTGATAACAAATTTCTCAAGTTTTCGAAATGATTCAATTAATAACTGAGCCTTCAAATACAAAAAAAATACAATTGACAGTTATGATAAGACATGATACATGGTTGAACAATTTTGATGTCATTAACCAATTGACACTGTTCACAATTGCGAAAAGTTACTCACCCTGCAAGGCCACGGTCAGAAGTACAATAATGACGCCCAGGACCAAAGCAGGCCTCAGCCTTACTGAGCCGATCATTTTTTCGGTATTAATTGTCAATTAACCACAGACACTTTTTTTTGTCTCAAATCGGTAATAATGAGATGGCTGTCTCGATTGAGACAGCTCTTAACACCCTGTCGCACTAAACTGTCCCTCATCCGACATCCAAGATGGACCACCAAATCCCGTTCGGGTACCGACTAAATCTGCTTTAGTGCCGTAGCCCGTCCTACCTCGCTTTCGGCCGTGTAGCGCTGGCTGCCTTGCGATTTCTTGCCATCTCGCTTATTCTTTTTTTATTTGGCTCTATACTTCAATTTTTGCACATTATTTTCAGATCAATTATGAATTACACCAGCGAGACTAACATTCAAACTCAACGGGCAGCATACTGCAGCCCATCAGTTACAACGGATGTTCACTTTAATATATTTTATTACTTGTCTTCTTTAGAAACAATATAATGTAAAAAAATTTCGCGATAATATTTTGTTTCAATGACATTTCCATAGTTCTGAGTGCATATACGCGATAATAAAGTTAAGTTTTCTAGCATAGTTTGTTTTTGCGTAGCACAGGCTAAGGTTTGCTTTTTAGATAAATTCAGTATATATAGATGAAAATCTTAATGACTCGTGAAGTTGTAAATGTCGCGAGTACTCATCAGGACTACATGCTTGACTGCTATCTCTCTTCTTGCCTTTTCCCCACCGAGGTTTCATCTATTGGCCAGTCATCTACTGCTGTCAATTGATTTTACCTCATCTTCGTTCTGCTTGATTTCCAATTCAAGCACCTTGTTGGATTTCCTGGTACTGACTTTTGGTATTTTGGAGTACAGCCCTGTGGGACTAGTAAAATGCCATCGTTAGCGTACTAGATAGACCTAGCTTTGCAAACCTGAACGCCACTGCGCGTGGATATTGTAGTGTAGTGTCCCTGTGGAAAAAAAAAGTGTTTCTCTCCCTTTTGAAAGGGGAGAGAGAATTGCAAATGGGTAGAAATTAAAACTAGATTGGTAAATTCAAAGGGAAAGCTGAAGAAAAGTGCAGATGAGCTATTTTGGAATCTAAACGTCTGTTTCACAGTCTGTGGGCTGATCGCCCACTATTAAAGGCATGTAATCAATTGCCTTCATAAAAAAAAATCCGTCCGAATCAAGTCGAGAAATTGGACTTGCTATGAATGACTGATTCAATGAAGTCTCACTAAAAAATGTGTGAATCAGTATAACGACTTGATTCAGGTCAGGCGTGAATTGAGTATATGAAGCAAGTTGATTTTTTAACTACTCTCACAGCAAACCGCAAATCCAGATTAATGGAGTCACAATCATACTACTTGAAATGAGAAAATCTGCTGGAGTAAAAGCGAGGACTACGTGAATCTCTACCTTTAGTCGTCTTACCGTCGGTGCCCTTTCAGTAATACCCTGTTTTTAGGACTTCTCTTCAAGACAACCAGCTAACTATAAAACTTTTAGTGTATCTGTACCTTCTAATGCTAATTTTTTCAAAGTTCCTGAGAATATGTCTGAGGCACCAATAACGAGACTATTATGTTACAAAGCTGTTGAACATACGACGCTCTTAGATCTTTTCAGTATGAAATTCTATGGAATATTACAAAATGATTTGCGTCTTAGGGCCCGTTGCACCAAGCTCGGTTAAATAAATCCCCAGTTAACGGGCAGCTTACCCATAAGGTTTACATTGGAAGAAATTTAACCCAACGATTTAAATAGCTAACAGAGTGTAATGCAATCGGCCCTTAGACAGTAATAATGTTTTTATGACCGACGGTGGTGGCTGTGTGGTTAGAGTGTGGGATTGGCATGCGGGAGATCCGGGTGCAATTCGCGGCTAGGGGGCCAAAGTTTGTGATACTCTAAATCTCGCAAGAGACAACTGTACCTGGGCAGATTTTTCACAGAGGGTTAGGGGGTGGGAAGGGAACAACTCGTAAAAAGCCGAAAAAGTGTACGAGAAAAAATTTTTGTTGTTGATTTTATTGATGATATTGATAATTTTTTTTTGTTTTTTTTTTGTTTTTGTGGCTTCGCTGAGCGTTCAGCCTAAAGCCTGAAAAATAAAGAATTGAGAATTGATAATAATAAATCTATCATAGATCGTTTATATCTTGGATCCCCTAGTCATCACCATTGCACCTAATAACATTTTAATCAAGTTGCACGCCGTTGACTAATTAGTAGCTTCATCAAATTCAATCACTCTTTTATTGTCGCCGGTATATTCCATCACGTTCCAGCAGTAATTTCTATCAATAGAATTACGGTAATGTCTGCCAAGTTCTATTCGGGACATTTATCATACGGTGAAAAAGTTAAGATATATCCATAGAAAACTCGTTTTTCTTAATATTGTTCCCATGGTTTTCATAGATAATGTTTATAATAGTCCCCAGCTATTGAAAAAAATACTAACTGGCAGTACTACACAGTTTAGGAGAGAATAAATAATGAAGTGCAGGCTTCTAACACGCGAGGCATAGACCAAACCGGGGTTACGGGTTCCTCCCAACTCGACTTTTCCATCTTATGAGAAAACGGTTCTTGCGATGTTTTTAAATAACTAAACCGTGATAGATTGATAAATTTCGAAAACGGTGAAATTTTTGTAAAATTTTGTACTACATAGTTTCTGCGATATTCCACTCTATCAAATGGACATTTCGTGAAAGTATTCCTTATTTGACTCAAAAAAGTAATTAACAAATAATTTATTTGATTCAAACAGTTATTGTTGCCTACATCAACAATATATGAGAATAGAAGAACTCAACAACTTATGAGAATGCAATAAATTAAGTTATTTAGAATTTTTTCCGGAAATCCATAGGGACTAACTTTTCGATTATTCTATTCGTTTGAGTGGCTATATCCCCCTCTCACTCAAGTAGGGGGCAAGTGCCGAGTTAACTTTTCGATCCGCTTGTCTTGGGATACAGCTTAGCCCTTTGCTTCACGAACGTCGCGGATGGTCTCGGTGTGAGAGGAGTCGGGAGTCTGTCAGAGATTAGTGCACCATAAGAGACGCACGGCGGCACAAAGACACCACTGCGAAACGTCGCAAAGCGGGGTACCATTGGCTTTACGGAAAGCGGTGTTGATGATAGTACATTCAGTTATTAGGCCGAAAAAGAAATTTTTGTCATTCCGGCCGTGAGGCAACGCTTCACGGACGCTCCGCTCCGCTCCGCGTCCGTGAATCTCTGCCTACGGCCGTCATAACAAAAAATACTGTTCGTCATACGGCCAAAAAAAACTTTTCTAGCTCATATGATTGCAGCTCTCGCCTTCGTCTCGAGATGCAAACTCATATTCGCCAGAAAATTTTTTTTTGTCATTTCGACCGTAAGGCAGCAATTCACGGACGCTCCGCGTCCGTGAATCTCTCCCTACGGCCGTCATGACAATAGTATATTTCGTCACTAGGCCGAAAAAAACTTTTCTGGCGAATATGAGTTTGCAGCCCGAGCCGAAGGCGAGGGCTGCAATCATATGAGCTAGAAAAGTTTTTTTTGGCTGTATGACGAACAGTATTTTTTGTCATGACGGCCGTAGGCAGAGATTCACGGACGCGGAGCGTCCGTGAAGCGCTGCCTCACGGCCGGAATGACAAAAAAAATGTTCGTCATACGGCCAAAAAAAACTTCTCTGACGAATATGATTGCAGCTCTCGCCTTCGGCTCGTGCTGCAAACCTCATATTCGCCAGAAAAGTTTTTTTCGGCCTAATGACGAAATATACTATTAACGAATCGATTGAGTAAAAATTGTGCCGTTTTTTTTTGTCTGAGATTGTGAAGAGTTTCTCTTGAATTTGAAATTAGACGAGACTTCTAGATCCGATTGAACAATAAGAATTGGTGTTGGAGATGATCAACTAATGTGTTAGTTGAGGCATAGTTTGTTGAAGCATATACCATACAGTGAGTGGAAGCGTCGTTCCGTCGAGCGCCTTTATATTTAGATGTGTCCGGGCCGCCGCCGTATAAGGTTGCCTTAAATATTGCTCAAATCTTTATCCCCTTTGCCTCTTTTGATGCCTATCTTCCCGGCAATTTCCACTTTTGAGCGTTCTGCCGTCTATACCTTTTATTTTCCTCACAAATCACCTGGCATCGTGTGTTGAACGGGGGTCAGAGGTCGACGAATGGCAACTCAAGAATTCACAAATGCCTACTTTTTCTTTTTCATCAGTCTCATTTCCCTGATTAATGAATACTGTTGGAAACAATATTTTCTTCTGATTATAGGCTCGGAAGATCGAGGAGCACAAACGAAAGAAAGAGCGTAGAGCACTGGAAAAAAAGGAGAAATCACATCAGGAGGCCGTGAGGAAGGGACGTAAGGCAGCCAAGGCACGTGAAGCTAATTCACGTCCATCACAGACTGATGATGGAGCAGGAAAACCAGGGATGGGGGATTTTTATCAATACCTTAATGATCCTGAAGTTTCGGCAGCATTCCAGGTAATAAGATAATCAATAATAAATGTTCACTTGTTTCCTATGGAAAAAATTGACTTCTTTTGATATCACATATAAGCCATATAAGTTCGTAACTATTGAGTTATGATATACTGATTCGAACGATTCCATTACTACAAATTTCCATTAAGGATAAATTAATTCGAGTCAATGATCCTGTACATTTAATGAATGAATATAAAAAAATTGTTTTCTAATACAAAAAACTGAATGGACAATTTGCTGAAACTATTCTGACTTTTAAAAGGATCCTGAAGTATCAGCCGCATTTGTTGATATCTCATCGAACCCAGCCAACATTCTGAAGTATCAGGGAAATCCAAAAGTAATGGCTCTGATTAACAAAGTTGCCTCGAAATTTGGTGGTGCGACTGGCTTCGGCGGAATGGCAGGCCAGATGCCTAGTGCAGATGCGTCGCCAAAGCCATCTGCACCGAAAAGCGATGACGACGTCGGCCTTGATTAAAGGTGCTTTATACCCCACTCCAAGTCTCTTGCTTACCTTCACTCAAGTTCATTGTCGTAAGACATTGTTTTTTTTCCTCCCAACATCGTCTACTCACCATTATCTGGATAATTACTGCTTAAATTGCAACAATGTTAAGTAATCGAAACTAGTACTTTTATAAAAAGATGGAGAGGGAAAGAGATCAAATGCAACATTTAGCATTAATAATTGTTTTTTCTAAGGGAGATGACTGAAGAAAACGAATGAAAGAGAAAAAAACAAAATGTATCTTTTGCCATGAAACACGACATCATGTTGAAAATAAAATGAATCAAATCTTATTTATATGTTTATTTCATCAAACAAACAACAAACATGGAATGAATACATTACTAACCTGTACACAAATAAATTTAGCCAGTAACCACCTAATCAAGTACCCACAGAGTTCGATACTAAAGGTTTTACAATAAGCAATCAGCATAACTTTGGTCATGTCTGTAGTCTTTATTAAGAAAAACAAATCTAGAAGTAATATTGCACGTTTTACTTGGAAGTTCAAATGTACATGACTTTCTTTTCTATTGGTTATTACTTTTACTACTTATTTATTATTACTTTACTACCTTAGTTAGTAGAAAGAAAGGAAAAAGTAAATCAGAAGTCAGATAACTTTTCCTTAAAGAAAAAGAAAGTGATAAACTTATAAATAAACGATTTAAGCTGAATATTAGAAAATAATCAAGTCAAGGTCTTATTTTAAGCATGTGAAGGTTTGGGTGCCATGGCACTTTTCTAAAGGTTGATGTCCTTGGTTCGGTCTCGTGAAGACTACCAATTTCCTTGCCGATAGTTTTTTCATGGTACTGGTCAACAATGGAATTGTCTAAATTAATACCTCTTCGGTGACAATTGTGATGACCATGTTGGTGCGAGTGATGATGAAATGAAGAACTCGAAGGTGGCGTGATGAATGTTATGACCGGATTTGTGCCGAAGTAGAAACAACTTGCGGTGTCGACGGGACGATGAAGGTAATATACTTGGTCATGGTCAGAATTATAAATAAGGCTATTTGGGTATTCATTGAGAAAAGGATCCTCGGTAATCGTATCTGAATGGATTATTGGACGCTTTGTTCTCTAGTGATGATTGTGATGTGGTAATTGTTTATGTTTCCTGAAATCATAGAGAACGTAAATGACGTTGGATTTTATGGGATTTTTTAACGAAACTTTTTTCAGTTTATGTGCAATGATAAGGTTATGCACATAAACTAAATTTTGAAGTTTGCCATTTTCGCTCTTTCCAATTATGATTAATAATTTTTGGAAAACTGGAAAGTTTCGTTGAATAAGTCATATAGTGAATCGTAAAACTTTTATGCGTGCTTCCAAATTGGTTTTTCTATTCCGATTTCAATAAAAGTTTCCAATGTACTTAAAAGTCTTCCACAATCCATAAAAATTTCACGATATATTTATCTTCGGCATTCATGAAGCATTTTATTTTATTTTATTCCAAATGGATTAAAATGTGCTTTTAAATAAACAGTGTTCGTATTTGAAAACTTCTACGGTGTAAACTCTCAATATGATAACAAAAAAGAGAATAAACAATGGTGCCGCAAGGGCAGTTTAAAACTTCAAGTTATTTACCTACACTTTATGTTTCTGAGTATCATCTGAAGTCAGTTGATGGTGAGATGTCCCCTAGGTACCCTATAACACTTGCTCCACGCTTCCAGCAATAGTACAAAACTATGAAACCTATAAAATATGAGCAATGGCAGACATATCCTTGATATAATGCCCCATGCTAGTACTCCGAAGAACCTCAACTGCAGCTCTTGCGTTATCCAATTTTGCGTAATTACAGTATCAAATGCCCAGAGGACAGCATTACTGAACAGTAAGAATGTGATAACTTGTCTTGAGGGTTTAGTCATCATTTGATAGCGCGTGATGCAAGACCTCCTTGATGCCTCTGCAATGAGTGTACTTTGCGCAAAACACTCAACCAATTGAAGCACCGAAGCAATTAACAGCATCACGTATCTGCCTCTTGTGTCACCATCAATTTGATCTTCGATTTTTTTACTTACTAATGCACAGCCACAAACGACGATTGTGAAAATACAGTAAAGTTGAACACCAAAGAGAGAAAGAGTGGCTAAAATGTTGTCATGTGATGGGGGAATCCTTGAGACTATCGACATTTGCCTGACCTGTACAAGTCCACTGGCTGTCATCATTCCGCTCAACGCAAGAATTCCAATTAAAGTGCCAGTGGTTAGCCACGAGAGGGTCGCCGGTGGAAAATTATCATCCTCTCTCACAACGAGGAAAATTAGTATAACTACAATCCCAGCAGTCATGCTGAGGATACCAAGGAAAAGACCTTTGGAAGAACTATCACATCCAATCCTTGTCTGTCTTGTTACGTCCTTCATACTGTGAAATTTCTGTTTGTGGCCGTATCGGCTTTTTCCTACGTTTTGACCCATTACGAAGGTCACAGCTGCGGCTATGAGGCTGAATTGCACGATGAAGGGATAGAGAAAAGGCATGCTGGAGATCCATAGCTGACCAAGAGTGTTTGCGTTGAGACATTCTTGTAGAGTCACTGCTTGGGAGATTTGCTCATCTGAAATGGGCTGATAGTAAGAGTGCTGAGGCGAAAAGTTGGTTTCGGAGGCTATTTGGCCTAAAACAATAAATTTATTGTTGATCAATGACTTCCGTAGAGGGGTTAAATTGAGAAAAAAATGATACGATTTCAAATCAAGTTTCCTGGGAATTCCTTGCAGTTTAAAAATCTTTCGATTTTGGAAACGATAGAGCCACTTTAATCTTCAAATTGCGCACTGGGTCAAATGGAGCCGATATACGAATACTACCACAATATAACTATCTATTAAAAAAAAACCTTATATACCCTCAGGTTATAGTGCTGGCATGATTACAATTCCTTTGACACCACGATTTAACATATGTTTTCCATACCATTTTTCTCCAGGATTACGGAAAAAATAATGAAAAAATTCTATCTCCATTATTTCTTCTGAATTATGGGTATTTTTCACAAAAGTCACAGGATATTGTTGGATAGGATTTTGGAGTAGGGGGGAGGGAAACCAGGATAATTCTCAATATTAGTTTACAAGAAAAATTTTCTGAAAAAATTGTATATAGTTCAGACCGGGATTTGAATCCGGGACCTTCCGATTATGCATGGGGTGTTCTCAAAACTTAAGGTATGGTCACAAGGGAGGGTCACAAAAAAGGAGTCGCTAGGGTCACGAGGGTCACAAGGGTGACACTATACCTTGATTGAGCCCGTTTTTGACTGGAAATTTTTTTGTTGAAGATTTCGTTGACGGATTTTTCGCGATTGTTGTTGCAATTTTTTCAGGAACAGAATTCAGTCAAAAGAATCTCCGACAAACAAATTTTCATTAAAATTGATTTTTTTAAATTTTGAGGTTGTAAATATAATCATTAAATATAATCATGAATTGGTATATATCTCAAGTATAAGAGGCTTCATGGAAATATTCGTATCTTGAAAAATAAGGATTGAAATGCTCATATCCTAAAAACTAATTTAGAGGGAATTTTGTTTTTATTTTTCCCGTATTCAACACTTTTAATCTATTAATTTGTATTTGAAGAACTAAATGAGAGATATATTATGCGTTATAAAAAATTGTGTACAAGTAAAGGGGGGTCAAAAAAAAGTGAGCAGTTTAAGGGTTGAGAGTGAATTTGCGGAATATTCAAGAAAAAAAATGTCATTAGGTCATCAAAGGACTGGTATCTTTCAGTCTTTTCTTTTATAATTAAGTTACTTTGAATGCATTTTGATAAGGGAAAGTGGGGCACAATGAAACAATGGGGCAAAATAAAACATGGGGAAAAATGAAACAGTCGAAAAACGATTGTATGTTGAATCTAAGTTTAAAAAAACAGTTTGGTGTCGTTACATATATGTCGCTCATTAGGATGCTGCCATAATGAAGGGACTAAAAAGGAACTTTTCCAAGCATGTGTTTCAAAATAGTATATTACGTTATGATTGCGGAAAAGAGTTTTTTGGCTTACGGGATTATATCACTCGCCTTCGGCTCGTGCTATAAACCTCCCACGAGCCAAAAAACAGAATAAAAAATCTGTCATAATCTGACAAATTTCTGAAAATTTAACATTTTCTGGGAATATTCTCAGCCCAAATCCTTGTGGGAAAATGTCATAGGATGACATATTAATTATGACAGAATCGGTGAAAATATAACATAAAATGTTTTATTATGTCATCATTTGATATATTTTATGATTTTCTGAGAATATTCTCAGCCTAGACCATTGTCAGAAAATGTCGTTGTATGACAGATTATGATGCATTGTGCCTAACAGAATCTGTCTACGTATGACATCATATGTTTTACTATGTGATTATTTTACAGAAAATGTCATCATATAACAAATTATGACATAATGTGTTTGATAGAATCTGTCAAAGTATGACATCATACGTTCTTATTATGTCATTAATTTACAGATGCTGTCATTTTTTGACATTGTTGGAGAACATTTTTAGCACGGGTACTCGTCAGAAAATGTCATCATATGACAAATTATGACATAATGTGTTTGATAGAATCTGTCAAAGTTTGACATCATACGTTCTTATTATGTGATTAATTTACAGATACTGTCATTTTTTGACATTTTTGCAGGACATTTTTAGCACGGGTACTCATCGGAAAGTGTCATCATATAACAAATTATGACATAATGTGTTTGATAGAATCTGTCAAAGCATGACATCATGCGTTCTTATTATGTCATTAATTTACAGATAATGCCATTTTTTGACATTTTTGGAGGACATTTTTAGCACGGGTACTCGTCAGAAAATGTCATCATATGATAAATTATGACGTAATGTGTTTGATAGAATCTGTCAAAGTTTGACATCATACGTTCTTATTATGTCATTAATTTACAGATACTGTCATTTTTTGACATTTTTGCAGGACATTTTTAGCACGGGTACTCATCGGAAAGTGTCATCATATAACAAATTATGACATAATGTGTGTTTAAAACACAGCAATAGTTTTTTATTTAATGGCACCGGGCTCGACGAAAATTCTCGAACGACCTCGGGACACTTCGGGTTCACGGTCAGATCACGAAGTAAATCACCCATCAAGTTCAGTATCGTATCGTCTCAATCTCTGTACAGTCAGTATTGTCGCAATCGCTATATCGAGTACATCACGAAGTACATCACCGTGAGATACGGAGTAAACGCTCCTAGTAGCGTCTCTATTCGAGTCAATCATCCATTAATTTCGAGTCAATTATCAATCATTTTGAGATTATAATCAAGTGAATTATCAAGAGAATTATCAGGTGCAGTGTAGAGACAATTATCGAATTTAATTTGAGACAATTCAACGAACAGTGTACCCTTATAAAATTTCTAGACGCGTGGTTTACACCACAAATAAAGCACATCACCAGTGGGGTTTTAGTAAATCGCGTGTTCTTAATTTTGACACCGTTTCCATATCACTTTTCCCCAACCCGCTTAAATTTTTAGCATTAATTTCAAACAATGTGTTTGATAGAATCTGTCAAAGCATGACATCATACTTTCTTTTTATGTAATTATTTTATAGATAATATCATATTTTGACATTTTTGGGAAACATTTTGAGCACAGGTACTCGTCAGAAAATATCATCATATGACAAATTATGACATTAAGAATCTGACATAATTTCACTTATCATGACATTTTTTGTCAGATGACTCCATTATTTGTCATATTCTATCGACTTAAAATAAAATGACATTTTTTGTGAAAATATTTACGAAAATTTTCGAACAAAATTTGTCATATTATGACAAATTCTGGAAATTTATGTTAGAAATCGCAATATTTGTCATTTTTTTACATTTTTTAAAATTTTCTGTCATTATTTGACAGAATCTGACCGCAAAATTTCCACCAGGGAATGAATCAACTACGTGAGGCAACGGTTGCAAACTAGTAATTAGTTTATTGTCGTGATATGAGTATGTACAGGATGAGATGGTAGTATGAATGTATATACAGGTGAGGTGGAGATATCCACCGATGGCGAGAACCACACGACCAGGGTTGGGCATGTAAAATACATGCAGTAAAATATCCAGTATTTTACACGTAAAATACCATGTATATTACACTCGAGGTTTTGGCATGTATAATACTCTATGTATATTACTCGATGTATAATATAGGTATTTTACGCCCCAAAGGTAAATGTGAGCAACATTGGGTAAACTACAAATCGTTAGCTTAATAGTACAATAACGTAAGTGCCAAAAAAAGTCCTCAGACAAAACTTTTCGAATTTAAAATTTGTTTCCATATTAATTATTAGTTTCTCATGTTTAATTGAATTGGCATATTTTGGCATTTATGTTACGCTGTTATTAAGCTAATGCTAGCTTAGTAATTTTGTAAAATGTCTGTATCGATACACGAAATATCAATATTTTTCAAACCTCCACTAACCTATTTGCTCCAATGTTTTCGTTGTTATAACCAATTTCATAAGAAATTGGTTTTTATAAAAAATTTCACGAGGGTCAAACATCCGGAACTTCACGAGGGTAACAAAGGGGTAGTAAAATTTCACGAGGGTCACGAGGGTATAAAATAAAATATAATAAAATAAAATTGGACTATTCCCTTGTTACCCTCGTGATGCTCCACCCTCGCGACCTTCGTGATATTTGACCCTCCTCTTGTGACCCACGTGATGTTTGACCCTCGTGAAATTTCACCGTTCCCTTGTGACCCTCATGAAATTGGACCATCTCCTTATAACCCTCGTGAAGTTTAACTATCCTCTGGGGACCCTCGTGACGTTTGACCCTCGTAAAATTTAACCATTGTGACCCCCGTCGATTTCGTCAAATTTGACCATCCCCTCGTGATGTTTAACTATCGTATCGTAACCCCCGTGACATGTGACCCTCGTAAATTTGACTATTCACTTGTGAGCCTCGTAAAATTTGACCATCCCCTTGTGAGCTTCGTGATGTTTGACCCTCGTGAAATTCATCCTCTTGTGACCCTCGCGACGTTCGACGTTGGGACCCTCCTGACCCTCGTAAAATTTGACCATCTTGTAACACTTGTGACCCTCGTAAAATTTGACCATCTCCTTGTGACATTTATTGTAACCCTCGTGACCCTCGTGACATTCGATCTCCACAACCTTTTAGATATTTTTTACATTTTATATTTTCTTCAACGTATTTTACGTAAAATACGTGCACTCAAAATCCGGCTGAATGTAATAAACCGTATATTACATTTTAGACATTTTTTACATAGTTTACGTGTATTGTACGTATAAAGTAAAAAACCCTAGAACTGACCGATTTTACCCAACCCTGCACACGACTACAAGCGGGAGCGATTGCGACACCTGGGACGTGCGTGTGTATCTCATATCAGGTGTGTGTGTATGAGAGCGGTGCGATACGCGACTCAGTGTGGATGTAGCGAGCCGCTACAGGGGGGCGGTGTATGGAAATTGTTTATCTGCATTTAGTTAATTAAGAAATTAATGTACAAACGAAAAAAAGGTAAATTCGTGATGTATAAAGTTCTATCGATTTCACTGGTTATTTGCCCTAATTAAGCAATTTTTTATTTCGTTTCGGCCAGCATCATGGCAAAATTTCAACAATTAATATTAATTAATTAGGGAATGTACAAGAAAAATATGGCATGTACAATCATGTACTAACGATGTACAATCGAGTACATAAATTCGTTTTTCTATTTATCACCCCCTTCCGGCTAAGTTCCTAGGGATAAATATATAGTGAATAAAAATGTCGTTCGACAAGCAGCACTTGAGGCATTGCCTTCTTTTCACCTTCCAATTCCCTGGCGAACAAATAGCCCCGTCCCAAGTAGCAAACCTTGCGAAAGATATCTGAAAGTATACCAAAAAGGCTGACTAATGTCGGTCCAAGAGGTATCTTGCAGTCATACGATAACTTTTAGTTAACTTCTAGGTAATTTCTAGACACAAGTAACCCTTTGGAACAGAGATTAGACAGCCTTTTTGGTATACTTGCAGATACCCTCCAGAACTGTGCTGCTTGGGTTCGTACATTCTGACGTTTGACGTTTGGCAAACTTGAGCCCGGTTGTTACGGGGCACCAACCGGGCAGTTGTTACGTTCCAATCGTTTCAACGATGTAACTAGTAGGACACTAGCGCCAATTCAAAAATTAAGCGCCAGGTTTGAGTGCGGGAACGTTGGCCGCCAAAGCTCTGATGAGCACTCCATCGAGATTCAATTTAATAGTTGACAGGATTATTTATGTGGAGCAGGTTGATAGACGAAATAACGTGGACACTGATGATTTAGGGAGCACTGAACACACTTTATTTTAATAAAGTCAAGACTTTAAACGATCAAAGAATAAACTCAATAAAACACTTGTGGACTTAACAAATTGAAGAGAGAAGCAGCAAGCAGAAGGCTTGTGTAGGAACTGAACTATCCTAAACTAAAACTTCCAAGGGTTGGGTCCAACAACCCCCACTAATCTAAGAGTTGCGCACGCAAACTAGGCCCTGAGGAAAGGGAAAAGAGAAAACGGAGAAGCGGAAAAGGAGAAAAGGGGAGTATTTTGCGTCGCAGGTTTTCCTCTTGGAGGGACTCTAGGCCCTCAACCAGGGGAACACAATGAACAAAAGGCACCACACGTGTTGCGCACGTGAGGCCGTAAAACTGTTGATACAAACAGAACTCGAGATCGTGACGAGTGAGGACCGTAACTGTCCAATAAATTCGACCCTAAATTTGACACCTAGAAAAAGTGTTTACTCCACGAGAATTTGAAGAGCTATAAAATATTCTAACAAATCGCAGACCCAAACACTCGAGTCTAAAATTCCATCAACAGTTTATTCTCGCTTAAAAGTTATTGCTTTCCCTTGTTCATTGTACTATTCTCCCTCAATTCTCAACTCCGGATTACGTCTAATAATTTGAATTATTC